CATCTTGAGGTCTGGATGCCAGGTTATTTCACAGATGGGAGTAAGGGTGAGGAGGTAAAGCTAAAAAAAGACCATTAATCTTACAAATATCTCCTGGAATAGCTAGCCTCAGGTAGGGGATGTATTAATATCTTCCTTCCTGTAGCCATCCACAAATGGACAGGGTCCTAAACACAGTCATTTTGGTTTAACATTCAGGCCGAGGGACAGGGTTCCTGAGGCAGGCCACTGCGCATGTGCTAGTTGCTCAGTCGTGTCTAGCTCTTTTCAACCCCATGGACTGTAACCCACCAGGCTCCTCTGTCCATGGAATTCTCCGGGCAAGAATACTGCCATGGGTAGCCATTCCCTTCTCCAGGGGATCTTCCCAACCCTGGGATCAAACCTGGGTCTCCTGCATTGCAGGCAGATTCCTTACCATCTGAATCACCAGGGAAGCTCCTCCATTAGGTATGGACAGTGAACAAAAGCCACAGGAAGCAAAGGTTAAAGTAAACAGATCCAACATGGAGTCAGTCCTTCCTTGTAACAAATTTACGTTCTGAAACAGCACCACAAGTATATTTTACAGATCCCACACACATGTTCTGAAACAGCACCACAAGTATATTTTACAGATCCCCACACACATGATAAAATATTATTTAACTCCTACTGTATGACATAGGTGGGAATGTATTTCTTTTTATAAAACTGGGATTATCTGTACATTCTGCTCTGTAATCTAACTTTCCACTTGTTTGTTTATGATGTTTGGTTTTGGTTTTTTTTTTTTAACTTTTCGGCAGTGAACATTTGAGAAAATTCTGTTGAAAAGGACTGTCCCGCAGCCCTGCTCTTTAACAGTGGCCCTTGTCTGCCTGCCTGTCTCTGATGTCAGGGCTGGAAGTCCTCTGACTGGGGCTTGCATGGTTTCCAGGAGTGGCAAGAAGTCTCTCAGCACTGTGGTTTCTTTTCTCCTGTGATGTATTCACAGCATAACCAGCCTCAGCTGTCACCTCTAGGAGGGGCTCGGCCGTCTGCCACTGCTGAATGACAGACTCAGACCACATGGGTGCCATGTGGTGAAGTCTAGGCCTCTGAGCAGAGACAGTCTTCTCCACTCTGGCCAGACGAGATCCAAGAAAGGACTACATGAGACCAGGTCCTGTCTCCAGAAGGCTCTCAGGATCAGCCCACTTCAGAGGAGAGACAGTATCAAACTGGACAAGTCCAGGAGAGAATAACCAGCTAAGGCAGGAAAAAGCCAAGAACTAGGTTTATATCAATATTTATATAAGGCAGAATTAGAGGCACTAGTATCGTTACACCAAGGGGATAAAAACGTCGGGGGGAAAAGGCAGTATGTGAATTTGCCTTATTACACCCACAGCATTCTACGTTGTGTCCTAATTGACTGTCCATGACTGACTTCGGCTCTTCTTTTTTTATTCAAAAATACTCAGTGATTTAAAAAAGAAAGAAAGAAATACAACCACGGGAAAGAACACCATAAAGGATCACCTCCATCCTTATATGCATCGGCATTTGGCGGATGAGAAGTGAATATAATGACCAGAAGTGGCTGTTTAAAAAGAAAAAAAGGAAAACAATACAACCAAGGCAAAAATATTCCATGAGCATAACTGAGCTGCCCAATACCATAGCCACAAAAACATAGTACCATGGGTACTAAAATTTAAAGTTAAAATTAAATTTTAAATCAACTCTACTTCAACACAAAATTAAAAAAAAATTCTAATATTATTCACAGGAAAGAAAAGTGGTTCAAAATAATAGTTGTCTAGTGCCTATCTCATAATCCATAAGAGATCTTCATAACCTGTAAGGAAAACCTGACAATGTTTTTTTTTAAATGTCAAAGATCCGTAAAATGGTCAATGCTATACCTTCGTTTTCTCTAAAGTAAAAAAAAGTGTTTCACAACCCAACAGATTCTAAGAAACAACAGGGCAGGAAAAAAATCCTGACAATTACTCTTAAATACCAAGGTCTTAAAGCTCAGGGTCTGGCTTTCGAATGAACAGACCCACCCAGAAGGAGCACCCCCACCACACACACAGTTAGAATTAAATACAATTTAAAAACCAGTTCTTCTGTTACACTAGCCACATTTCAGGTGCTCAATAACCATAAGTGGCTGGGGACTAGGAGATGGTACAGAGAAGATATGGAGCACTACCATCATAGTAGAGAGTTTTATTGCAGCACTATGCTAGACGCTGTGTTAACACAAGCAATCGATCCAGGTGTGATCAATCAGCCATGACCCACGTGGAACTCCCAAAGTGAGAAAGACAAGAAAATGAAAAATTATGCTAGGTGGTGGAAAGTGTGGGGGCTTTGCAAGCACAAAGGAAAGATGCTAACTCAGTCTGGAGGAAGAGAGCGCGGTGGGGAAGACTTGTGAGCAAACAGGGAGATGGCCTTTAAGCTGAGGATAGTGAGGTGGACAGAGACAGGTGATCAATGTAAGGACTCTGGACAGAGGGAACACCTGTGCAAGGATTCACAAATGACAGCTGAATAAGTCAGGGGACTGCAAGTGGTTTCAACCACTGAAGCATACAGTATGGGTGGTAGAAATGGAAGATGACACTCAAAAATAAAGTATATTCCAAACCTTACAGAACCTGATGAAGGAGTTTGGATATTAGTTACCTTCTGTGTATGATAAACCATCCCAAAGCTGCAGTTCAGTTCAGTTGCTTAGTCATGTCCCACTCTTTGCAACCCCATGAATTGTAGCACACCAGGCCTCCCNGCCATTGTTTCCCCATCTATTTGCCATGAAGTGGTGGGACTGGATGCCGTGATCTTAGTTTTCTGAATGTTGAGCTTTAAGCCAGCTTTTTCACTCTCCTCTTTCACTTTCATCAAGAGGCCCTTTAGTTCTTTTTCACTTTCTGCCATAAGGGTGGTGTCATCTGCATACCTGTGGTTATTGATATTTCTCCCGACAATCTTGATCCCAAAGCTTAGTGGCTTAAAATAACAGCTGTTTTTTTGCTCACAGTTCTTGGGGTGGCAAATTGGGCTTGGCTCAACTGGGCTGTTTTTCTGATGTTTACTCGTGTGTTTGCAGTCATGTGATTGCTCAGCTGGGTCTGGTTGGTCTAAAATAGCCTCACTCAGGGACGTCCCTGGTGGTTCAGTGGCTAAGACTCGGCACTGCCAAGGTAGAGGGCACAAGTTTGGTTCTTGGTCAGATAACTAAGATCCCACATGCCATGTGGTGCATGCACGGAAAAATTTTTTTAAAAATTAAAAATAGTCTCAGTCATACAGCTGGCATTTGGTGCGATCTATTGGATGGGCCCTGTGTGTTAAACAGGCTAGCTTGGGCTTCTTCCTGTGGTGGCAGTGTTTCAAGAAGGTGAAAGCAGAAACTACTTGGCCTTTTGAGGCATAAACTCACCAAACAAGTTACAAGGCCAGCTCTGATAGGAGAAGCTACAAAGAATTTGTGGCCATTTTTAATCTATCACACTGGGATGATGTTGGCCTGAAGCAGGGTGGTGGGTAGAGAGAAGTGGAGAGATTTTTATTTTTCAGATATTTAGGAGTCAGAATTGAGAAGTCTTGGGGATTGTTCTGGAACACAGAGGAGAGGGTGAAATTACAAATGACTCCTAGATCCTTTGGCTTAGGTAACTGATAAATGGTGGTGCCCAGTACTCAGACAGAAAAGAGGAAAAACAGGTTTGGGGGGAAGATAATGTTTCCAGTGTGAGTCATGTCAAGGATGAAATGTCTTTTAGACATCTAGGTGGAAATAGGCAGGAAGTAGGTGGATATGCAGATCTAAGGAGAAGTCTGGCTAGAGATACCAGTTTGGGAATCTCTGGTGCCTTCAGCTTACGGCAGCTTCCAGGGGGTCTGCAAACTCAGAGCTGGAACATATTACCAGGCAGGGAGGGATCTGGTAAGTCAACTCTGTAGCTGCGCTGAGCCTAGCCTAGTATCCCAGGCAAAGTAATCAGTCTCTCCTGGTTGAAAGTTGCCAGGCTATAATGAGAAAGAGGGATTAAGTTTCTAGGCAGAGTCCTCGGCTCTGAACAAAGATCAGTGTTGTAAATGGCAAGAAGGTAGATCCCAGCTCCTGTCAGGAGGAAGTCTGCTAACAACAGACCACTGACAGATGAAGTAATGAATGTATCGTCACTGAGGGAGCCTAAACAGAGGCTAGAGGAACTGCGATGCAGAGGCTTGGACGGGATTCCCTCTCTGGGTCCGATGATAGAACTCCATGGCCAGCCCTGACACTCTATGAAGGTCTTCATTGAAGGCAGTTCTGCTGGGAGATCAGCACTGCAGGAGGCACCTATTAGGGTGCAAAAGAAATGTTGACTAGGGTCCTTGCCATTCATTCGTTTGTTCATTCATTCAACACGCCACGAGCAAATCCTGTGCTCTGTACTAGGAAGAGAGAGATGAAAAGACTCTAATCTAGAAGAAATTCAACTGCAACTACAAAAACTGTCTTGTAGCTGCTGTTAGTTTCTAGAACCATCTTCCCATTGGATCTCAAGAAGTACTCCAGGGTCTCCTTGCTATGGTGTTGGGCTGTAAAGGTTTGATGAAAGAAAGAATAAAAGGAATAGGGGTGTCTGAGACCCGGAGAAATGTACAAGGGGAGGGATCTCTGCCTGAGTGGAATCAGGGAAAACTCCTAAGAAATAAAGCAACATCCCTATCTGAATGAATAGTTAAAAAGAAGACATTTATTAAGTGCTTTCTCCGTGGCTATTACAGTGATACCTGGTTTCCTTGTATTATACAGATTATCTGGCATTGGTGGTCTTGATCATCTATTAATCTTATTTTCTGGAACCTTGTCCGGGCACTGTTGCAGTAAGAAGGCGGCGGGACGCTCTCGGCTCAACTCCCGAGAGACGTCCTGCGAGCGGAACCCGGGTTCGGTGGCTGACGAGCGCGCCCGGAGGGTTTTCGCAGGACTCCAGACCTAGCGACGCGCACCTCGTTGCTAAGGGCTGAGGCGCCGGAGGCTGCGGAGCCTGGAGGCTGTGGACGCCGTCGGGTTCGGCGTCCTAGTTGGGCCTCAGCTCCCGGCCCTGCCGGCCCGCCGGTGGGTATGGAGCCCGAGGCGGGAGGAAAGGGCGCAGCTGACTGGAGGGGAAGTGGGAACCCTCGCGCTCTCCGAGCCGAAGCCGCCCGACTGGCCAAAGCGGGGAGGGGATTCCTGGGGCCCGAGTTGGGTTGGGTGGCCTTACATCCAGTCTTGGGTGAACACCCCTCCATCCACTCCCCANCGTCTGAGCCTCTAGTCCCAGTTTCTTCATGGAAAGTGACAGGTGGAAGTATTCTGGAGTGTACCAAGGAGTGTTGCACTGGAAAGTTAAAAGAGAATTCTCTGAATTATGTTTAGAGTGACCATTGAGGGGTTTTCCTGGCAGTTCGGTGGTTAAGGTTTCGTGCTTCCCATGCAGGGGGCACAGGTTGGATCCCTGGTGAGGGTACTAAGATCCCACATGATCCGCAGTGAGGCTAAAAAATTAAATGAGATAAAAATTTAAAAGTAGAGTGACCACTGAGGATCTCAAAAGGCCTTTGGAGAGTAGATTGGGGCAGAAACGGGTCCTAGAATTCAGATTTAGGCCTCATTCGACCTGAAACCAACAAAAACATTGAGAGCTGTATTGAATTACAGGGTTTCCCAAGTCCTCTGTAGTGTTTCTAGGCCTGATATGTGGAACGGGTCGGGGTAACTGCTACCTGTCGGGTCTGTTATTGGACAGTATTAAAGGACCCAAATATTGTTGGGGGCTTCCCAGGTGGCACTAGTAGTAAAGAACCCACCTGCCAATGCAGGAGACGTAAGAGGCATGCCTTTCCTGCGTCGGAAAGATCTTCTGGAGGAGAGCATGGCAACCCACTCCAGTATTCTTGCCTGGAGAATCCCGTGGATTGAGGAGCCTGGTGGGCTATGGTCCACGGGGTTGCAAAGAGTCAAACACACCTGAAGCAATTTAGCATGTACGCATATATTGTTAGGTCCTTAAAAGAAGCTTGCCAAGCAGACTCTCCCACCTTAGCATTCCATTCATTCATTCATTCAAGAGATACTTGCTTTGCTTCTGTTTTCCTAGGCCATGCTTAAAGTGCAAATACAAAAATGAATAAGACATTTTCCTTCCTCTCAAGTATACTGCAGGTTCACAATATAAACTATGGCAGATGACTTGAATAGTGTTTTCATTTCTTAGCCTACAGCAACATGGACATTATCCAAGTACATATATTTTGTTCTCAAGATTTTAAATCGCCTTGCTGTATCACATCTGGGCTTCCCAGGTGGTGTGGTGGTAAAGCATCCTCCTGCAATGCAGAAGGCACGAGAGACGCCGATCCAACCCCTGGGTCAGGAAGATGCCCCCGGAGGAGGTGGGCAACCCACTCCAGTATTCTTGCCTGGAAAATTCCATGGATGGAGGAGCCTGGCGGGCTAGTCAGTGGGGATGCAAAGAGTCAGACACACCTGAGCGAGAGGAGCATCCTTTCCTTTCATATGATATCTAATAAAATGAATTCTTAGCCTTAGTGTGATCAGTCACTCTGATCAGGAGACATTGGCTTCAGTTTAATGTATTCCAGGCTCACTTTCACATGTGTATATTCTCTGTGTGTATTTGTAATGTATGTTTAATATGTGTGTATTAAGGGTAGAATTAATAATAGTGAAAACTGCCGCTTTTATCATTGCTGTCTCTGTCAATCCAGTAACAATTCTGGTAGTCATCATTTGTTACTAATAATCTACAGCTTGAACCAAGAGTTTGAAATGCACTAGCTTTTGCAGACATGCAGTATAGTAAACTGGTAGGGAGCAAAGCCCCTGGAGTCCAAATGCCTATACTCAAGTTTCAGCTAGGACACTTACTTGCAACTTATGTGTGAACTTGGGCAAGTAACTTAACATCTCTGTGCCTGACTTTTCTGACCTGCAAAATGAAGATAGTAACAATGTCTGTCTCAGAGGCTTGTGGAATAGATTAAATGAGTTAAATATAAAGTGCTTAAAAAAGTCCTCGGCATATTTAAGTGCTGTTTTAAAAAGTATTTATTTATTTGGTTGGGTTTCCCAGGTAGCTCAGTGGGAAAGAATCCCCCTGTGATGCAGGAGACTTGGGTTTGGTCCCTGGGTCAGGAAGATCCCCTGGAGGAGGATGGCAACCCACTCCAGTATTCTTGCCTGGAAAATCCCATGGACAGAGGAGTCTAGCAGGTTGTAGTCCATGGGGTCGCACAGAGTCAGACCCAACCTAGCTACTAACCAAGAGCAACAGCAAATTTATTTGGTTGCTCTGGGTCTTAGTTTTGGCACACGGGATCTTTAGTTGCAGTGTGTGAGATCTAGTTCCCTGACCAGGGATGGAATCCTGGCTGTCTGCATTGGGAGCTCGGAGTCTTATTCATTGATGTCCCTAAGTGCTATTTTTAATCTTCACAGAAGCTGAATGATAGAGTTATTATCCTATTTTACACATAGGAAACTGAGACTTAGAGAGGTTCAGGAACTTGCCCTAGACCAAATGAAGCAGAACTATAATTCAGACCTACGCCTCATTTCAAGGCTAATGCGCCTAATGAAATATTATTCTGACTATTTTGTGCTGCTCTTAATAATTAGAATAAGGTCAATCAATATTAGAGTTTATTTGAATTCTTAAAATTGAGTTGTTAAAATGCAGTAAAGCTGTTTCTTCTTTGTAGATGTTTATAGTGGAAATTCTGGGCTAGAAGTCAAGAGCTCTACCTAGTTAGAATTTTGAGCAAGTAAATGTTTCTGCCCATATTCTGCAGATCTTTAAATAGAGTTTATATGTGATGATTTTGAGAAATTCTTCCTACTTAAAGTATTATTTTAAAAATTCATACTTAAAGTATTATTTTAAACAGGTGAATTTGCCTTTCTCACAAAAACAGTAAACTGGGAAGTAAGCAGTCACTCCTGAAGATTTTTGATGAATGAAAATCTTACTATGAGTAAAGTAAAAATATTTAATGATGAGTTTAAATATATCCTATGTTGCATATTTTAAAGTAGTTGTATAATTAACATTATGGTATAGTTTCCCTAATTATTGGAAATGTGCAAGTTATAAAATCTTTGAATTTTGCAAGATAAATCTTTGTGAGGGGAAATGACACTTAACAATCTCTTTAATTAACAGTTTCTTATTTACCTTGTATATCTCCTTCCAGTACAAACATATGCTTAGAGAAGAGATTAATCTAATTGTCTTTTCACTAATTACAGAGATTAGGAAGTGGCTGCCTGAACTATTTTCCAAAGGATAACTTTCCAAAGCAGCAGTTCACCAAGTTTACAAAGTTTACAGCTTTGCAAATACGGCAGCTCACCAAGAAGATCCTACTGGCTTGGGCGTAAGTAATTCTAAAGATTTTCTTTTCCTTAGATTGTCCCATGCTTCAGATAGGAAGTATGGCTCTCAGAAGATACCAGGTAAAAATCCAATCAGTTTTAAGCAGAGTCAATCCATTTATAGCATCAGTGACCTAGATCTGTGGGTGGCATCTGTCCTTAGTTTGATGGCAGTGTTAAAAAATGGGTTAGGTTGGCAGATAGGAAGCCCTGCAATCTCTTATCTAACTACAACAGGACAACACTACAAGCTTTTTGAAAACTATCCTGGAATTTTTCCTGGGGGCATATTTGTGGTAACTGAAAAACTAGATTCCCCTCTTGCTGGGTGTCAAGCCAAAAAGACACAACCAAGCCAAAGAGCAGAAGAAAGGATTTAGAACTTGCATCAAGTTGGGAGAACAGGGATATTTGCCCAAACTGTGTCTCTCAGACCAGCAAAACTGGGAAAGTTTTAAGATAAGAGTGTATGCATATTTATGAAAGGACTCGGGTAGATATGCATATTCATGAGGGGCTTGAGTAGAGGAGAGTTCAGCCTAGATTTGGGACACAGGTTGTCAGAGTCACAGCTTTAGTTGATTAAGTCACCAGGGTCAGCAGAGGTCAGCAGCATCATTCCTTAAGTACCAGATAGTCTTGTGGTTGAGTGAGTGAGGGGGTTTGGATCCTGCAGAATAGCTCAAGAATGTGCCTCTTGCTATCCTTTACCTTCGAAACAGAACTGGGAGTGCTTTTTAAAAATTTCTAAAAATTATCTAGTATTTTGGCTCTGCTGGGTCTTTGTTGCTGCACAGGCTTTCTCTACTTGCAGTGTGTGGGCTTCTCATTGCAGTANCACATCAGGTGGCCAAAGGATTGGAGTTTCAGCTTCAACATCAGTCCTTCCAATGAACACCCAGGACTGATCTCCTTTAGGATGGATTGGTTGGATCTCCTTGCAGTCTGAGGGACTCTCAGGTGTCTTCTCCAACACCACAGTTCAAAAGCATCCATTCTTTGTCACTCAGCTTTCTTTATAGTCCAGCTCTCACATCCAGAGCCCTTAGGTTGCTATTTCACAACACATGTGTTTGTCACATCGTGTAAGCCACTTGAAATACAGAGAAGGATATGAGAGTCCCTCTTCTTGTGGAGCATACAGTCTGCTAGTAATCTTGGAATCTGGTGTCCATGTTTATACGTTAGAGGGGAGGCTGAGGCACAGTGTGGAGGATCAAGGATCTCAACGACACAAGACACGAGTGAGATGAGGCAAGCCTGGCCCCAGAGCCCGGAGCTCTTGATGCCACTCATTGTGTTCTTTCCACTGCATTTGCTTCTGTTCCTTGTCAACTTGAAGAATATTCACCACCTAAAAGTTGAGAGTTACGTTTTATTTGGTAGGAATTTTTAGGACTTCATGCTCGGGAGGCAACATCTCAAGTAACCCCAAGAGAACTATTCCAAGGAAGCGAGGGGGTGAGCTCGGGTATATAGGAGTTTTGCAATAAAGGGCCGGTAGTCTGAACATCAAAAAATTATTATTAATTAAAGAAAACCACACACACACACAAACCAAAAAAGAAAACCAGATGCATCAAGCTAGGGAATTTAGCACTTTTCTATGTATGGGAGGATGCAAGAGTCTGGGCTCACTGAAACCATTCCTTTGATCTGCAGGATTATTTTCATATCCTGAATTTCCTCAGGACTCACCAGCTCACTGTAATCTGTGGTTGCAATTCCTGAGGACTATGACATCCTTTGTTTATGGCAGGAAATAGTCCATTTCTCACTGGTTACTTGTTCTTTTCAGGTCAGTTCTGGCAGCTTTTAAATGTAGGTGGAAATTCTTCTGGAAAACTGTGGTGGGTTTTTTGTTTTTTAAATGTTTTGTTTTTGTTTTAATCTATTTTGTTGAAGTATAGTTGATTTACAGTGTTGTGTTTATGTCTGCTATACAGTAAAGTGATTGTTATATATACACATATTCTTTTTCATTATAGTTTATCATGGAATATTGAATATAGTTCCCTGTGCAATACAGTAGGACCTTGTTGTTTATCCATTCTATATAGTTTGCATCTGCTAGTCCCCAACTCCCAGTCCATTCCTCCCGTTTGCCCCCTTGGCAGCCACAAGTCTCTTCTCTCTGTCAGTCTATTTCTGTTTTGTAGGTAAGTTCATTTGTGTCATATTTTAGATTCCATGTATAAGTGATGACATATGGTATCACTTCCTCTTTCTGACTTACTTCACTAAGTATGATAATCTCTAGTTGCATTCACACTGCTGCAGATGGCATTATTTCATTCTTTTTTATGGCTGAGTAATATTCCATTGTGTATATATGTACTACATCTTCTTTATGCATTCATATCTCAGTGGACATTTAGGTTGTTTTTATGTCTTTGCTGTTATCAATAAATAGTGCTGCCATGATCATTACAGTACACTTATATTTTCAAATTATAGTTTTCTCCACATATATGCCCAGGAATGGAACTGCAGGATCACATGGCAACTCTGTTTTTAGTTTTTTTGAGGGCCCTCCATAGAATGGAAAGCTGTGGTTTTTTTTTTTAAAGGTAATGATATGGGACTTCCTTGGTGGTCCAATGGTTAAGACTCCAGGCTTCCACTACAGGGAGCCTGGGTTTGATCCCTGGTCCAGGAACTAAGATCCTGCATGGAGAATACTTGGAGAGTTTTAGCTGTTATTTCTCGTTATAGACTATTCTTCCTAGAACTATGTGGGCTCGTCATTCCCATAAGAAACTCACCTCCTAGAATTTCTTTAAGCAGAGCCCTGGAAGAGATGGCGACTGGGTACTCCCACCTGTAACTTCTGCCATCTCAGGGGACAGCTAATTGAGTAGCAGACGAACATTTCCCAGAGTAGCTGAGATTAGGTCCTAGTCATATACCTTCAGTTCCATCAGACGTCCGCGCTGGCCACATATTCTGATCTCAACATTAAAACCGAGATATTTTTTTTAAATTTACATATTAACTCTTTTAAAAATAATAAACCTTTTTGCATGTAAACATAAATTTATGAAAAATAAATATACTTTTGAAAACACACAAAAATGTTTGATTGGAAGAGAGCGGTATTGTTTTACATTTTTTGCAAATCTCTACTATTTGGCTTAAACAGAAGACAGTTGAATTCTCGTATCTGCTTCTGAATTCAATCTATTGTAGTATGTTTTTTGTAGTATAAGAAGAAAGTCAGGACTCACATAGAGACATAGTTGGAAAAAGGATTTCACAGACTCCCTGAAAGGGTCTCAGGTATCCCCAGCAGTCCCGAGATCTCACTTTGAGACCTGCTGGTCAGGTCATTACCTGTATTGTCTCGTTTGGTGTCACTGTCTCCCGCATCTCATTCTTATTACAGAATAACCTCATGACCCTGGAAAGTATTTAATAGCAGTCCCACACGCTAGGAAGGTTATAGCCTTTTAGAATAACTAAAGCTCTTTTCCAAGAAGCTTACTGGTGTAGATTGTTTTTTTTTTCCTTTGGCCTTGCCTCAAAATTTATGGGATCTCAGTTTCTGACCAGGGATTGAACTCCAGCCATGGCAGTGAAAGTGCCAAATCCTAACCAGTGGGCCACCAGGGAATTCCCAGTACTTCATTCCTTTTAATGGATGAATAATATTCCATCCTATGCATAACTCACATTTTGTTTATTCATCCACTGATGGACACTTGGGTTGTTGTTAGCTTTTGGCTATTGTGAACAGTGCTGCTCTGAACAGACATGTATAAATTTTGGGTTGAACACCTGTTTTCAGTTCTTTGGACTATATACCCAGGAGTAGAATTGTTGGATCACATAGTAATTCTATGTTTGACTTACTGGGGAGCATCTTAATATTTTTAAAATTAGTTTTGTTTTTGTTTATCTGTAAATGCCGTATGGAGGAATGGTGCCTTCCCAGGGCCATAAGAGTGAGGCAGGGAAAGGAGAAAAACCAAATGCCTACAGTTAGTCTTTTTTTAAAAAAAACAAAAAAAAAGGGTTTTAACATAACCATACTACCTACCATTCTTGTGCCTCACAGAGTTAACAGTGCGTATTATTCCTTTTACCAAACAGGGCACACACCTTCCCGCAGCCACAAGGGATGCTGCGCCTCAGGTGCCGTCTGAAACGAGCTCTTCCCCAGAAGGTCCCGTGCAGGTTCTGTCCAGTGATGGGGAAACTGCAGAGCAAATTCAAACACAGCACTTACAAATGCAGGTACAGCAGTCTGCCCTCGGGTGCGGTCCCCAGTTTTGTGCCCCATGACAGTTCTCTCCTGTGGAAAGAGAAGGCCCGGAGCCACTGTTGATGCCCTCCCTGATCAGTCAGTTTGGTCTGTTTCCTTCTGGATAAGAAACATCTTGGTTGCTAGGGCCTACAGCCCCATGGCGAGGGGCCCCGTGGAGATGATTCCTACATCTTTGGGAATCATCTCTAGAGTAAGCAAAGACTCTGGGTTTCTTCTTTTGTCAGATGCCAGTCATTCACTCATTCCGAGCATTTTCAGAGTTAATAATGCCATTCCTGGTGATGTCAGTGTGGCTCCTTTCTCTACTCCCTTTCTGTCTTCCTCCTCAGCATGGCCTGTAGTCCACACTCTCTTCCCCTTGCTCCACTGTGTACCCTACACCGTGGGGCTCCTCATTTTCCATCCTCTCTTTAGCAGGCCAGATGGATTTATTGAAGAGAGGATTCAAACTAAAGCCTTTCAAGAGTACAGCCCGGCTCACGTGGATACCGTCTCTGTTGTTGCTGCTCTGAACTCAGACCTCTGTGTCTCTGGAGGAAAAGATAAGGTGGGGTTTGCAGTGCTTTCCAGGGAACCAACTTTTTGCAGAGAAGGGCAGATGTTTGGAAAGGAAGTGCTGGCTTTGCATTTCTGGCAGCAGGGTTGAATAGTGTAAAAATATTTGCTTTAGAGTTAAAAAGGCTGGGTTTAAATTCCTACTCGGCTGCTTCCTGTTACTTTGGGCAAGTCTTTTCATTTTCTTGAGCTTCAGGCTCCTTCTCTATTAAATGGGGGTAGTAATGCCAACCATCCAGAATAGTTGAGGATTAAATGGGAAGATGCTCAGCGCTCTGCAAGACCACCCACATGCTTTATATAAATGACAAGTATTACTCCAGCCTATCCATTTTTATACCTGCATGCACACAGGAGCTATTTGTCAGCAAAAGGAAAGTTCTAGTCTCTTTTATACCTCTCTTTTGCCAAAATATCTACCAATACTTCGAGACTGCTCCCATTTTCAGTGTAAATTTGGTTGCTTTATTTCCCTAGTATTTGGATCTGTCGTAGAACTCAACCTAGGTTCTTGATAGCAAAAATGCTGGTTCTTTCATAATAAACAATGCCTCTAATTTTCTATAGCCATTTAGAATCTTCAGATTCTATTTACATACTGTATTTCACTGATTCTAAGATGCATGTTTCCACATTGTAACACCTCTGAAATCAGGATGCATCTAGAAATTGATAATAACATCATTTAATTGGCAGCATTTTGTTGTAACATCTAGACATATGAACTTATATTTCTATGATCCTCACCTGTGAGGGGTAGATAGTGCAATGATTAGCCTCTCTGTTTTGCAGGTTATGAAACTGGAATTTAACTAGGTCATAGTACTGAATGACAGAGACTGGGCCAGAGAATGCTTCTGAATCCTGTTTAGGGGGAGAAATACAACAAAATACTAAAATATATTCCCGGAAAAAGGATGGGAAGAAAATTTTCATAATGGTTCTCTCTGGCAGACAGGATTATGGATTAGATTTTTTGAAATTAAAGAATAGTATGGGGACTTCCTGGTGGTCCAGTGGCTAAGACTCTATGCTCATAATGCAGGGGGCCCCGGGTTCAAGCCCTGGTCAGGGAACTAGATCCCACATGCTGCAACTAAAGATCCTGTGTGCTGCAATGAAGATTGAAGATCCCAACTAAGACCTGTCACAGCCAAATAAATAAATAAATATTTTTTAAAAGTATGATCTGCTCACAACAGTGTAAATATACTTTTTTTTTTTTGGCTGTGCCACATGGCATATGAGATCTTAGTTCCCCAGTTCAGTTCAGTCACTCAGTTGTGTCTGGATCTTTGGGACCCCATGGACTGCAGCATGCCAGGCCTCCCCGTCCATCACCAGATCCTGGAGTTTACTCAAACTCATTTCCATTGGGTCAGTGATGCCATCCAACCATCTCATCTTCTGTCGTCCCCTTCTCCTCCTACCTTCAATCTTTCCCAGCATCAGGGTCTTTTCAAATGAGTCGGTTCTTAGCATCAGGTGGCCAAAGTATTGGCGTTTCAGCTTCAGCATCAGTCCTTCCAATGAATATTCAGGACTGATTTCCTTTAGGATGGACTGGTTGGATCTTCTTGAGATCCAAGGGACTCTCAAGAGTCTTCTCCAACACCACAGTTCAAAAGCATCAATTCTTCGGCACTCAGCTTTCTTTATAGTCCAACTCTCACATCCATACATGACTACTGGAAAAACCATAGC